GCGGATAAAGGTACTCCCCTGTGTAACTTCGATGTCAGCCATTGGCAGCTCATGCGTGACACCTGCCGCTTGCTCAGGCCCTTTGAGGAGGCCACGCTATTCGTGAGTCGGCAGGACTATGGGATGAACGACGTCATTCCTCTGTTGCACGTCCCTGGAACAAATGCTGTTAACAATGGCTGGTCAGGGTGCGGTAGACGTGGCGCACAGATCTCAACGCCACATGACCCCTGTGGGGCAGGACAGGAAGAAGAGGAGGAGGTAGAGGAGGACATTTGTGCTCAGGAATTATTGAGTGAAATGGGTGGTTTTTCCACTCAGCGGACAGGAGTGGAGGAGCAGGAGCATCTGGTAGAGGAGGAGGAGGAGGAGACAGAGGACCCAGATGCACCGTGGCAGTATGCTGTGGAGATGGAGGCAGGGAGTCCCTCGCATTCCTTGGCACAAATGGCCCATAGCATGCTCGGTTGCTTGCGTAGCGACAGCCGAATAATAACCATCAGACAGAGGGATGACTTTTGGCTGTCCACCTTGTTGGACCCTCGCTACCGTTCAAAAATGGTGGCCTTTTTCACACCTGCTGAGAGGGAGGCCAAAATAACGTACTATAAAAACCACCTATGTAGTCAGTTGGTCTCTGCCTTTGTGCGCCAACGTCCATCCTCAGACACTGTGGGCCCTGTGCGCTCGCGTTCCGCTGCCATGGCAGCAGGGGAGGGGTGGGGTGGTAGGAGCAGTGGTAGCTCCACCAGCAGCGGCTGCCTCAGTCTGCAGTCAATGATGAGTAGCTTTCTTCACCAGCGCAGTGAGGAAACTACTAACCAGCCGCAGCAGCAGCAGCAGCAGCAGCATCAGGTGGACCTGGAGCAGGACCTCAAACAACAGGCTTGGGCCTACTTGGACAGCACCCTGCCAACCGAGGTTAGACAATCCCCTTGACTACTGGGCAACGAAACTTGACCTTTGGCCCCAACTAGCTGAATTTGCCCTTGAAAGGCTGTCATGCCCGGCCAGTAGCGTGGCATCGGAGCGCGTGTTTAGTGCGGCAGGAGGTATTGTAACTCCGCGGAGGACACGACTGTCCACCCAAAGTGTGGAGAGACTCACGTTTGTGAAAATGAATCAGGCGTGGATTAGTCTGGATTTCAAACCACCAGTTCCTGACACAACTGACTAAATCCGCCATGAATCATGCCCCTGCCATGTGCCACTTTCAGGTCTCCTCACACTGCTGGTGTGTTCCATTTTTTTGTCATAGGGTGCTGGCAGATTACCGGCCTCCCATAGCTGCTGCCAGGCCCCTAATCTGCCATGGGCCCCTGTACCGCCTCCTCATGCTGCTGGGCCAGGTCCACAGTGTCTCATGCCATGTGCCACTTTCAGGTCTCCTCACACTGCTGGTGTGTTCAATTTTTTGACATAGGGTGCTGGCAGATTACGGGCCTCCCATAGCTGCTGCCAGGCCCCTAATCTGCCATGGGCCCCTATACCGCCTCCTCATGCTGCTGCCAAGTCCAGAGTCTCTCATGGGTCCCTGTACGGCCTCCCATTGCTGCTGTCTCCATCGCCACACTCTGCCATGTGCCACTTTCAGGTCTCCTCACACACTGCTGGTGTGTTCCATTTTTTGTCATAGGGTGCTGGCAGATTACGGGCCTCCCATAGCTGCTGCCAGGCCCCTAATCTGCCATGGGCCCCTATACCGCCTCCTCATGCTGCTGCCCAGGTCCACAGTGTCTCATGCCATGTGCCACTTTCAGGTCTCCTCACACTGCTGGTGTGTTCCATTTTTTGTCATAGGGTGCTGGCAGATTACGGGCCTCCCATAGCTGCTGCCAGGCCCCTAATCTGCCATGGGCCCCTATACCGCCTCCTCATGCTGCTGCCAAGTCCAGAGTCTGTCATGGGTCCCTGTACGGCCTCCCATTGCTGCTGTCTCCATCGCCACACTCTGCCATGTGCCACTTTCAGGTCTCCTCACACACTGCTGGTGTGTTCAATTTTTTGACATAGGGTGCTGGCAGATTACGGGCCTCCCATAGCTGCTGCCAGGGCCCCTAATCTGCCATGGGCCCCTGTACCGCCTCCTCATGCTGCTGCCAGGTCCACAGTGTCTCATGCCATGTGCCACTTTCAGGTCTCCTCACACTGCTGGTGTGTTCAATTTTTTTGACATAGGGTGCTGGCAGATTACGGGCCTCCCATAGCTGCTGCCAGGCCCCTAATCTGCCATGGGCCCCTATACCGCCTCCTCATGCTGCTTCCAAGTCCAGAGTCCAGAGTCTGTCATGGGTCCCTGTACGGCCTCCCATTGCTGCTGTCTCCGTCGCCACACTCTGCCATGTGCCACTTTCAGGTCTCCTCACACACTGCTGATGTGTTCAATTTTTTGACATAGGGTGCTGGCAGATTACGGGCCTCCCATAGCTGCTGCCAGGCCCCTAATCTGCCATGGGCCCCTGTACCGCCTCCTCATGCTGCTGCCAGGTCCACAGTGTCTCATGCCATGTGCCACTTTCAGGTCTCCTCACACACTGCTGGTGTGTTCCATTTTTTGTCATAGGGTGCTGGCAGATTACGGTCCTCCCATTGCTGCTGCCAGGCCCGTAATATGCCATGGGCCCCTGTACCGCCTCTTCATGCTGCTGCCAGGTCCAGAGTCTCTCATGGGTCCCTGTACGGCCTCCCATTGCTGCTGTCTCCATCGCCACACTCTGCCATGTGCCACTTTCAGATCTCCTCACACTGCTGGTGTGTTACATTTTTTGTCATAGGGTGCTGGCAGATTACTGGCCTCCCATTGCTGCTGCCAGGCCCGTAATCTGCCATGGGCCCCCGTACCGACTCCTCATGCTGTGACGTTGCAACAAGGTGGAATTCAACCCTACATATGTTAGACCGCCTTTACGAACAGCAAAAGGCCATCACAGATTTCCTCATGTTAAAAGCGGATAAAGGTACTCCCTGTGTAACTTAGATGTCAGCCATTGGCAGCTCATGCGTGACACCTGCGCTTGCTCAGGCCCTTTGAGGAGGCCACGCTATTCGTGAGTCGGCAGGACTATGGGATGAATGAACGACGTCATTCCTCTGTTGCACGTCCTGGAACAAATGCTGTTAACAATGGCTGGTCAGGGTGCGGTAGACGTGGCGCACAGATCTCAACGCCACATGACCCCTGTGGGGGCAGGACAGGAAGAAAGAGGAGGAGGTAGAGGAGGACATTGGTGCTCAGGAATTATTGAGTGAAATGGGTGGTTTTTCCACTCAGCGGACAGGAGTGGAGGAGCAGGAGCATCTGGTAGAGGAGGAGGAAGAGGAGACAGAGGACCCAGACGCACCGTGGCAGTATGCTGTGGAGATGGAGGCAGGGGAGTCCCTCGCATTCCTTGGCACAAATGGCCCATAGCATGCGCTTGCTTGCTTGCGTACCGACAGCCGAATAATAACCATCAGACAGAGGGATGACTTTTGGCTGTCCACCTTGTTGGACCCTCGCTACCTTTCAAAAATGGTGGCCTTTTTCACACCTGCTGAGAGGGAGGCCAAAATAACTTACTATAAAAACCACCTATGTAGTCAGCTGGTCTCTGCCTGTCTGCGCCAACGTCCATCCTCAGACACTGTGGGCCCTGTGCGCTCGCGTTCCGCTGCCATGGCAGCAGGGGAGGGGTGGGGTGGTAGGAGCAGTGGCAGCTCCACCAGCAGCAGCTGCCTCAGTCTGCAGTCGATGATGAGTAGCTTTCTTCACCAGCGCAGTGAGGAAACTACTAACCAGCCGCAGCAGCAGCAGCAGCAGCAGCATCAGGTGGACCTGGAGCAGGACCTCAAACAACAGGCTTGGGCCTACTTGGACAGCACCCTGCCAACCGAGGTAGACAATCCCCTTGACTACTGGGCAACGAAACTTGACCTTTGGCCCCAACTAGCTGAATTTGCCCTTGAAAGGCTGTCATGCCCGGCCAGTAGCGTGGCATCGGAGCACGTGTTTAGTGCGGCAGGAGGTATTGCAACTCCGCGGAGGACACAACTGTCCACCCAAAGTGTGGAGAGACTCACGTTTGTGAAAATGAATCAGGCGTGGATTAGTCTGGATTTCAAACCACCAGTTCCTGACACAACTGACTAAATCCGCCATGAATCATGCCCCAAACATGTGCCACTTTCAGGTCTCCTCACACTGCTGGTGTTTTCCATTTTTTGTCATAGGGTGCTGGCAGATTACGGGCCTCCCATAGCTGCTGCCAGGCCCCTAATCTGCCATGGGCCCCTATACCGCCTCCTCATGCTGCTGCCAAGTCCAGAGTCTCTCATGGGTCCCTGTACGGCCTCCCATTGCTGCTGTCTCCATCGCCACACTCTGCCATGTGCCAGTTTCAGGTCTCCTCACACTGCTGGTGTGTTCCATTTTTTGTCATAGGGTGCTGGCAGATTACGGGCCTCCCATAGCTGCTGCCAGACCCCTAATCTGCCATGGGCCCCTATACCGCCTCCTCATGCTGCTGCCAGGTCCAGAGTCTCTCATGGGTCCTTGTACGGCCTCCCATTGCTGCTGTCTCCATCGCCACACTCTGCCATGTGCCACTTTCAGGTCTCCTCACACTGCTGGTGTGTTCCATTTTTTGTCATATAGGTGCTGGCAGATTACGGGCCTCCCATAGCTGCTGCCAGGCCCCTAATCTGCCATGGGCCCCCGTACCGACTCCTCATGCTGCTGCCAGGCCCGTAATCTGTCATGGGCCCCTGTACCGCCTCCTCATGCTGCTGCCAGGTCCAGAGTGCATCATGGGTCCCTGTACGGCCTCCCATTGCTGCTGTCTCCATCGCCACACTCTGCCATGTGCCACTTTCAGGTCTCCTCACACTGCTGGTGGTTTCCATTTTTGTCATAGGGTGCTGTATGGCCTCCCATTGCTGCTGCCTCCACCGCCACACTGTGGCTCCACACTCTGGTTTTGGCCCCGTGACTGCCCAAATGAGTGAAGTGTGCGGTGATTCTAAGATCGACACTCATCTGCATGTCATACTGACTGTCAGTATTATTTCTCTTCCCCAGCAGACTCCAAGGGTATTTAAATTAAAGGTACAGTGTTCTGCACTAATATAAAGGCTCTCTGAAGCCTAGAAACACCCTTTTATAAGTTAAATTCGCAGCGAATATATTCGACTCGAATCAAAATTTTTCCACGAATTCGCCGAATCAGTCGAATCGAATTTTTGAATACTTCGCTCATCTCTAATCAATATAATAGAAGGAATAAAATTAATGATAATCACAATGTAATAAATGGCAAAAATAAAAATTAATGCTATAAATGACTTTTTTTTTTTCTTTTGTAAGGAAGAAAATTATTATTTATATTTAATTTATATTTACGTCCATGAGATGTTCTAATAATTAAAATACTCCACTATAATGCTTAATACTTTATGAACTTTAGTCACTCAAGGAGTCTCATTATTCATAACCTAGTGGGGGGAGGCTTTATTTAGCCAGTTCTAGATTCCATGCTGCCTGCTGATGGTGTCCAGTCCTTCTCCATGTGGTATGCTGACTGAATCTAGTCCTACTCCATTTTGTTTTACTGATGGTGTCCAGTCTTCCTCCATGCTGCCTGCTGATGAGGTAAAGTCTGCCTCTATGCTTCCTGCTGATGGGGTTCAGCCTGCCTGTATGCTGCCCGCTGATGCGGTTCAGCCCACTTCTATGCTGCCTGCTGATGGGGTTTAGGTTGCCTCTGGTGATCCACTGCTTGTTGTCATGCCCACCTCTGATCTGCAGTCTGCTGTTAAGCCTGCGTCTGGTGACCTGCTGTCCAGCTGAACTATTCTGATTCCCCAACTTTGGCCTAGCCGAACTCTGTTGATTCTGTACATGCTGCCCAGCTGGACTCATGGGTTGTCTGTTTGGGATAAGAACCTTACTCTTTCCTGTCCTGAAAGCTATTTTCAGCCTGTTGTGTCAAGGCTGGGAGGTCCAGATACCCACTCTGAACATGAGAGCTGCATCTTCTACTATAGCCCCAGTAGTAAAGGTCCTCTGGAGAGGGGCAGAGTTCCAATTGAGCTTTGTCCTGACCAAGGTGTTATCACTGTGATCCCTGGTGCATTTGGTGACCTGGGTTGGGTAACCTATGCCTTGGGTAGGTAAAATCTTGGCAGGTAAAATGTGGAGCAGACCTCAATGGTGGGGCACAGTGGAGCATCCCCCAAAGGAGGAGGGGGGGGGGCTGTTAGAACCGCGGGGTTTGTTCATGCACGCTGTTTGTGTGATTGTCTTTTGTTTCACTGTAAATCACACTGTAATTTCAGTTTGGTCCCAGTTAATTCGTGTGGCTACATACTCTCTATCAGGTCATCTCAGCTTCTGTTTCCTGACATAGCCTCTATGCTGTACAACTCTAGCCCCTTGGGATCCTCATTATGGTGCATGGTCAAGGGACACTGTTTAGTACATCCCTCTTCAATGAGTTGGCAGTGTTCATTAAATCTAGCATGCATAGTGCGAATGTTATGGCCAACATAATAGAGCCCACATGGACACCTTTAGACCGTGTATCACAAGTTGTGTACTATATGTTTATAAATGTAATCATTGTATACACTTTTCCATATATACTCAGAAACTTCTTTCACCCATGTTTTTTACAAAGGTGCATGCCTTGCGTTTTTGCTTTTTTTACACATCTATAAACCCCAAATGCCAAAGAACAGGGTTGCTGCTAGATTGGGGTATACTTTCCTAACTTGGTGCAATACGATTTAGAACATTGATGGCTCTTGTAAATACTGTAGTGGACCTCTGGGGGAAGTATATTTCTTAACGCTGGATCCTGAAGCAAGATAGACCAATACTTCCTCAGATACCTTTAAATGTCCAATGCTGGTCTTTAAATCTGATAATGAACTTAGTTAAGAAATCACTAAAAAATCCTCTCTTGTATTAAAAGGGGTATAGACTCCAGAGAGAGATATAATTTTACCACTGTACCAATCTTTAGTAATACCTCATCTGGGATATGCAGTTCAGTTTTGGGCACCAATTTACAAAAAATACATTGGGGAACTGGAAAAAGTACAGAGAAGGGCAACCAAACTGATAAGAGGCATGGAGGAGCTCAGCTATGAAGAAATATTAGAGAAACTGAATTGATTCTCTCTTGAGTAGAGGAGATTAAGGTGGGATATGATCAACTTGTATAAATACATCAGTGGTTCATATAATGAACTCGGTGTAGAGTTATTTACCTTGAAGTCATCAGAGAGGACAAGGGGGGCACTCTTTATGTCTGGAGGAAAATAAATTTAATCTCCAAATACGGAAAGGTTTCTTCACAGTTAGAGCTGTGAAAATGTGGATTAGACTCCCTCAAGTGTTGCTTCTGGCCAGCTCAGTGGATTGCTTTTAAAAAAGGCCTGTATTCTTGGATACGCCGAATATAACTGGTTACTAACATTTATAGGTAAAGTTGATCCAGGGAATATCCGATTGCCTCTCAGGGAATCAGGAAGGATTTTTTTCCCCTGCAGGAGCAAATTGAATCGTGCTTTGCTGGGTTTTTTACCCTCTTCTGGATCAACTGTGGGTATAGGATAACTTTTTTTTCTTTTTAATTGGACTGTTGTCTTTTTTCAGCCAGACTAACTGTAACCAGAAGTCCTCTCCACTTTGCAAACACTCTGTATATGTCCACTATCATAAGAATATTCTTTCTAAGAATATTTAGTAAAGAATTTGACCCTGTTCTAGATAATCTGGCATACTAGTGCAATTTCTTCCAAGTCTATTTTATTGGTTATATTGTATATCCTGTTTCTAGTTGTTACCAGCGGTCTCCTACAGTGTATCCATGGCCGCACTGTCCATCTCCTCTGCACTTCTTTGATCTTCCTGTGTGCCACTGGTGTTCTGTGGGAGTGAGCTGGAAGTCACTCTGGCACCATCTTGGAAGCACTGCATGTTAGAGGGGAAGAGAACTCAGTGAGGCGGTGCGGCTGTGGAGCTTTATTCTTTTTTCTTGGACATGCCAACCAGATTTTTAAAGCATGTCTATAATTCAAATACTTGTTTCATGTGAAGTGTATGCATGCTAAATATTGTTTTAGTGTAACATTGCTGGTGTGTTTTATCTTTTATTTTCTTATCCACCTGCTGCTGGCTCTCACCTTTTGAGCTGAAACAAAGTTACGTTGTACAGTCTGAATGACTGCTGGTCATAGATGTATAGAAATTCGGCCAGCTCAGCAGGGACTGGCCGAATTTTGATCCATCTATCACTGTTCCCAGACGAAAGACGTCAACCTAGTTATCAACTCCTCTCCAGTTGGACCATTGAAAATTTTGTTTTCGATTGTCAGTTTGCTTTAGCACTGATCAGGTTTTCTGGCAGTGAAGGTGTTCTGCTGTCAGAATACAATAGTAGAGAGTATTCTTTTATTTACCTCTGATTTGTGGATGGGGAAGAAACACATCCTCTTTGGCCAGCTTTAAAGCATGCTTTTTCCTTCCTCTGCAGCCAAGTGTTGACAGCATTCTCCTAGATTCTTTCTCTTTGGCAGAAATTAATTACCTTTTCATAGAAAAAGGTATAGTTTTGTTTATGTATATACAAAGATCAGTTTTGGGTATTCTTTTAATTATAACTGCGCAAAGTGTATTTTCTTAGCATGTAAAATTAAACCTATTTCAAATTGTACCTTTTTGTGTGTTTCTAATTCATCTAGGTCTTTTTGACAATACATTGTGCCCCATTGGTTAACTCTTTGGCTGATGTTATTCTAAATGGAGACCTTTCAATGTTTTCTTCTAAACCAGAACATAATGTTCAGCAGGGTTCAGTAAGTAGAAATCTAATTTTTCTTTTAACTTTTCTTAGTGACATACAAAGGTTTTAGCAAACAACTTAATTGTATTATTTGTGTTTGAGCTTCTGATTAAAATATCCTGCCAATACTGTTTCTAGGATGCTTCTCTTAATAATTACTGTAATTTGGCAAGTTATGTTTTGTATTGTAAGGTTCACACTAGTGCTCTTACATAATCACTTGTGTTTCAGTGCATTTCCGTAGTGTGTATTTGTGTTTTCATGTTCTGTGTGTTAAATGAGGATAAGGCGTTAAAAACAAAGCCATGACAAAAACCCATCATAAACACATGTATATGTAAATTTCATATGATTTTCATGCACTCCTTTTGAAGTATGTGGGGCCAAAAATGTGCTATTCTTCACCAAAAGAAACAATGAAACATAGAACGTGACAGCAGAAAATAGACCCAGTGATCTGTGGAGTTTGCTTTTTTTAAAATGTATTCATGTTTTTGTATTTATTGGTTTTGTTTTGGTTAACTTTTTCTGTCTAAGTATAGATCTATGTTTGTACCAAGCATGTTTGAATCCATTTACTGTTGACTGACTCATTACTTATGCTGGAAGTGTATTCCAAGCATCAATTAGCATTGGTAAAATAATACTTTCTAAGATTAGTTCCTCTGAACTTTCCTCCTACTAGTTTTTAGTCGTGTCCTCATGTTCGTGATCTTGGCTTTATATAAAAAAACTCTGCCCTCCTGAATCTTATTGACCCCCTTGATGTACTTAAAGATTTTAATCATGTCTCCCATTTCACTTCCTCCAGACTGTACATATTAACCACTTGCCCCCTGAGGATTTACCCCCCTTCCTGACCAGGCCTTTTTTATTGCTATTTTGCGCTGCACTATTTCAACTGGTAATTGCGTGATCATGCAATGCTGTACTCAAACGCAATGTACGTCCTTTTTTTTCACACAAATAGAGCTTCCTTTCGGTGGTATTTGATCACCTGTGCACTTTTTTATTTTTTGCGCTTTTAAAAAAGACAAATTTGAAAAACAATATTTTTTTACTTTCGGCTATAAACAATATATAGCAAACTCAAAGTTAGTCATAAATTTAGGCCAAACTGTAATCTGCTACATGTTTTTGGTAAAAAAAAATATCCCAATAAGTGTATATTGATTTCTTTGTGTGAAAGTTATAGCGTCTACAAACTGGCATAGATACTGCAATTTACGCCATTTTTTGCTATACAGCGCTGCACTAGTTTTAACCACTTGCCTACCAGGCACTTATACCCCCTTATTTACCAGGCCAATTTTCAGCTTTCAGCGCTGCCGCACTTTGATTGACAATTGCGCGGTCATGCAACATTGTACCCATATGAAATTTTGATCATTTTTTTCTCACAAATAGAGCTTTCTTTTGGTGGTATTTAATTGCCACTGGGCGCTTTACTTTTTGCGCTATAAATAAAAAAAGTGCAAAAAATTTGAAAAAAAAAAAAAAAAGTTTCTTTCTTTCTGTTATAAAATTTTTCAAACAGGCATTTTTTCTCCTTCACTGATGTGCGTTGATGAGGCAGCACTGATGGGCACTGATAGGCGGCACTGATGGGCACTGATAGGCAGCACTAAAGGGCACTGATAGGCAGTACTAATGAGGTGTCACGGATAGGCGGCACTAATATGCAGCACTGATAGGTGACACTGATGATGGGTACTGATAGACGGCACTGACTGGCATCACTGCTGGGCACTGACTGGCGGCACTGACTGGCACAACCCCTGGGCACTGACTGGTGGCACTGACTGGCAGCACTGCTGGGCTGCACTGGTGGGTGGCACTGGTGGGCAGCACTGGTGGGTGGGCACAGGTGGGTGGCACTGGTGGGCACAGGTGGGTGGCACTGCTGTGCACAGGTAGGTGGCACTTCTGGACACAGGTAGATGGCACTGGAGAGTGGCACAGGTGGGTGCACTGCTGGGCACAGGTGGGTGCACTGCTGGGCACAGGTGGGCGGAGCTAGTGGGCGCACTGCTGGGCACAGGTGGGCGGAAATTGCGGGTGGCACTGCTGGGCACCGATCATCAGGGCACTGATCATCAGTGCCCTGATGATCGGTGCCGATCCCTGCTCTGACAACTGCCGGTTCTCGGCAGTACTTTCCTCACGATCTGACAGCGTGAGGAAAGTGCAGCCGAGAACCGGCACTTGCATTTCCCTCTGATCAGCGTGTCATTGGACACCGCTGATCAGGTGGTAAAAGGCCGCTGTGATTGGCCTTTTACCACATTACGTGATCAGCTGTGTCCGTAGGACACAGCGATCACGGAGATCGCCGGGTGCACGCCCCCTGGGGCGCGCAGGAGAGCGCGTTCTGGGGAGGACGTCATATGACGTCCACTCAGAACTGGCCGGCCGCAGTGCAGCCGTCATTCGGCTATCTGCGGTCGGCAGGTAGTTAACTGACAATTGCACGGTCATGCAATACTGTACATGAATGAAATTTATGTCCCTTTTCACACAAAAATATAGGGTTATTTCGGTGATGTTTGATCACCTGTGTGCTTTTTATTTTTGGCGCTATAAACAAAAAAAGACAGAAAATTTTGAAGAAAAACGATATTTTTTACTTTCGGCTATAAAAAAAATATATAGTTAACTCAAAGTTAGTTATACATTTAGACCAAAATGTATTCTGCTGCATGTTTTTGGTAAAAATAATCCCAATAAGTGTATATTGATTGCTTTGTGTGAAAGTTATAGCATCTACATACTATGGTATAGGTAATGGAATTTACACAGCTTTTACTTTGACTACCTATCACATTTCTTGAGGTGTTAAAATGCCAGGACAGTACAGACACCCCCAAATGACCCCTTTTCGTAAAGTAGACGCTCTAAGCTATCTGCTGAGAGGCATATTGAATAGGCATATTGGAAGATTTTTTTTTTTTTTCGAAAATGAGTTTTTGGAAAATAATAAAAGCATTTTTTTTTAACACAAAGTTGTCACTTAAATGATATATTTCTCACACAAGTCATGATTATATGTGGAATTACACCTCAAAATACATTCTGATACTTCTACCGAGTATAGGGATACCACATGTGTGTGACTTTGTGGGAGCCTAGCCACATACAGGAGCCTGAAATTCAATGACCACTTTGAAAGCCTGAAGGTGCGTAACTTGCTCATTTCACTTCCTCACTATTTATCACAGTTTTGGAGGACCTGAAATGCCAGGATAGCACCAAGTCCTCCCCCCCCCCCCCCGAAATGACCCCTTTTTGGAAAGTAGACACCCAAGGAATTTAAAGAGGCATGGTGAGTATTTTGCAAATCTATTTTTTTCTCCTAAGGTTTTGAAATGTAAAGAAAAGAAAAAATGTTTTTGTTTACTTTCTTCATTTTCCAAAAACATGTGGCAACAAGCAAGATCTGCAAAATACTCACCATGTTTCTTCTCAAATTCCTTGGGGTGTCTACTTTCCCAAAAAGGGTAATTTGGGGGGGGTTTGGTGCTATCCTGGCATTTCAGGGCCTCTGTGATCGATAGTCAGGCAGTGTAATGAGGAAATAAAGCCCTTTAAAAGCCTGAAGGTGCTTATTGGATTTTGGGGTTCTGTACTTGGCTAGACTGCCAAAAAGTCTCTCACATGTGGTATCTCCATACTCGGGAGAAGTAGTAGAATGTATTTTGGGGAGTAATTCCACATATACCCATGGCATGTGTGAGCAATCCTGCCCAGAGCTGGCCACTTCTGCCTACAACAACTATCTATCATCCTCCTGGGACACCCTTGCTCCTCTTTCTACACGCAGAACCCGGCCTCGCCTGTCACAACCCTGGCAAACAGATGACATCAGAAGTCTCAAGAGATGCAGTCGCACTCTTGAGCGAGCATGGCGTAAAAATAATTCCCTGGAAAACTTTACCCTCTACAAATCTGCTTTTCTCAAATACAACTCCAGCCTCCACGCTACTAAGCAAACCTACTATAACACTCATTAAGACCCTTTCATCCAATCCTCGTCAACTCTTCTCTACCCTTAATTCTTTACTCCACCCCCCACTGCCTCCACCCACCAACTTACTTACTGCACACGAGATTGCTAGTCACTTCAAGAAGAAGATCAACACAATTCGTGATGAGATCTCCAGTGTCAAGCTTCCTCCTCTAACCAACATACCAGGCCCAACACCAAACTCTACACTCTCCTCCTTCGACCCTGTTACCACCAAGGAAGTTACCGAACTCCTTTCCAAGGCCCATTTCACCACCTGTCCCCTGGATCCTGTCCCATCACGATTGTTGCAGCTTCATTCCTGCTCTATCCTAAACTCTCTAACCCACATCTTCAACCTCACTCTCTCCATGGGCACCTTTCCCTCCCCACTCAAACATACACTGGTTACCCCCATCCTCAAAAAACCCTCGCTGGACCCCACCTGTTTGAATAACTTAAGACCCATCTCCCTGCTCCCGTTTGCCTCCAAGCTTCTCGAGCGCCTTGTTCACAACCGTATGAACTGCTACCTCACCGACAACAAACCCCCCCAACAGTCTGGCTTCCGCCCACAACATTCCACAGAAATTGCCCTACTAAAACTCACTAATGACCTACTAACTGCTAAAACCAACGGCCATTACTCCATACTCATACTCCTTGACCTTTCCGCTGCCTTTGACACAGTCGACCACCCGCTCATCCTCAGTAAACTCCACTCCATTGGCTTCCGTAACTCTGCTCTCGTCTGGTTCTTACCTTTCTCAGCGCACTTTCAGTGTCACATACAACTCCTCCTCCACTCCGCTTCCTTTTTCTGTTGGGGTACCCAAAGTTCTGTTCTCGGGCCCTTCCTTTTCTCTCTGTATACCTCCTCCCTGGGCCAACTGATAACCTCCCATGGCTTCCAATACCACCTCTATGCTGATGACACCCAGATCTATCTCTCCACTCCCCAGCTAACCCCCTCAATCTCCTCATGTATCACAAATCTACTAAGCGACATATCAGAATGGATGTCGCATCACTACCTTAAACTCAGTCTTTCAGAAACTGAGCTTATAATATTTCCTCCTCCCCAATCCCCCACTCACGACTTTACCATTAAGATCAACAGCACAACCATTGGTCCTTTCCCTCATGCCAGGGTGCTAGGCGTAATCCTAGACTCTGAGCTCTCCTTTGGGCTCCACATCCACTCACTGGCTAAATCCTGCCGCCTCAACCTCCAGAACATTTCCAAAATCCGCCCCTTCCTGACCAATGACACCACAAAACAACTTATCCACGCCTTAGTGATATCCCGCCTCGATTGCTGCAACTCCCTCCTCACTGGTCTACCGTTACACAGGCTACCCCCCCTTCAGTCTATTATGAATGCTGCTGCTAGACTCGTACACCTTACCAACCGATCAACGACTGCTGCCCCTCTCTGCCAATCCCTCCACTGGCTTCCACTAACCCAACGTATAAAATTCAAAATACTAACCACAGCTTACAAAGCCATCCACAACCCTGCCCCTAGCTACATCACCAACCCCATCCACAGATACCGCCCAAATCGCCCACTCCGCTCCTCCCACGATATCCTCCTCTCTAGCTCCTTCATCACCTCCTCTGACGCTCGCCTCCAGGACTTCTCCAGAGCCTCTCCCATCTTCTGGAACTCCCTACCACAGCATGTCCGGTCAACCCCCACCCTGTCTGCCTTTAGGCGATCTTTGAAAACTCACTTCTTCAGGGAAGCCTACCCTACCTCCACCTAAGAACATTACTTGAATAACCTCCGCCAGATCATCCCCCGCAGCTATCACCTTTTGTATCACCTCCCTCTTCCTTTAGATTGTAAACTCTACGAGCAGGGCCCTCCTATTCCTTCTGTACCGAAATGTATTGTAATTGTACTGTCTCCCTTGTATTGTAAAGCGCTGCGCAAACTGTTGGCGCTATATAAATCCTGTATAATAATAATTTAAGTGACAATTTTGTGAAAAAAGAAAAAAAAACTGTCATTTTCCAAAAAAAAATAAATTCTTCTATTGACTCTACATGCCTCTCTGCAAATAGTTTGGGGTGTCTACTTCCCAAAAAGGGGTCATTTTGGGGGGTGGGGGCATGTTATGCCCAGCATTAGAAATGTATGCCATACATCACTCACTCTTCTGACCAAGCCTTTTCTGACACTTTTTGTTCACATGGAAAAAAAAAATCAGTATTTTTTGCTAGGAAATTACTTTGAACCCCCAAACATTATATATACTTTTTTTAAAGCAGACACCCTAGTGAATAAAATGGTGGGTTCTGCAATTTTTTATGACCCATAGTACATGCGCAGCGATTTTTCAAATGCAAATGCAAAAAATAATTTGTTTTACTTTTAATGCACAAAAACACAATATATTGGCCAATTTTTTTTATAGTATATAAAAGATGAGGGTATGCTGAGTAAATAGATACCAAACATGACCTGCTTTAGAACTGCGCATGCCCCGTGCAATGGCGACAAACTGCATACATTTTTATTATCCATAAGCAACGCTTTAAAAGCCTCTACAAGCTACCATTTTAGATTTACAGAGGAGGTCTACTGCTAGAATTACTGCCCTTGGTCTGACGTTCACGGCGATAACTCACGTGTACGGTGCAACCGCTGTTTATATACTGGCACAGGGTCAATGGTCTCACACGCAGTTGCGTGCGGGGGGGGGGGGGGGGGGGCGAGGGTTCCTTTTTTTTTTTTGTTATTTTGACTTCTTTAATTATTTTTACACTGTCCTTTTCAATTTTTATTTCATCACTTTTAATGCTATCACGGGGAATGCAAATACCCCCTATAACTTCAATGAGCATTGTCATATATTCTTTTTTGAGAAATCTGAGGTTTATGAGACTCTAAATATCTCCTCTGCCCTTACATTACCTAATCTCACCAAGATCGGTGTGATCAGATGCTTTCCCAATTTACAAATTGCGCTGTTTATATCCTGTGAAATTGAAGGGATGAAATGCTCATAGCTTCCAATTTCTTAGACTATAGAGATGATTGGCACCATTCCAGTCTCAAATCAGCACTATGACTAGCTGGCAGAAACACCAGCTGCATTCTCTGGTTCTCCCGGTTGCACGGGACTGCCTGAGAAGGCTGTGGAAGACGGGGGGGGGGGGGGAATGGCATCCTCTACCACTGCTTGTAAAAGCTAATTAG